CTGTTCTTCTACCGGCCTTTGGGCGTGAATCTTATAGACTGCCTTTTCCAGGGCTCTTGCTATTACAGGGGTTACGTTGATCCCCCGGAAGTCCCCTCTTGCCACTGGAACATCAACTTTTGGCAGTGGGTTTATACTTGCCCTTTTCCACGATCTAGGCCATTGGTGCGTAGCGAGAGACAAATTCCATAGCTTAGTAATGATTGGAGTGAGGATCTCCGCATGGTCTTTCCACACCCAATACGGAATTTGGTCAGGACCAGTTGCAGTCTTCTTTAGAGTACTCAGTGAGTTCCATACATATCGTTCACTAATTTCCGGGACTTTCACCTCAGGACCAATTTCAAGTAACGCGGGCTCAACGTAATCGCCATCCGTACACAGGTCACCGAAATACTCGTTCAAATCTTGAGCGGTCTCTCTATCCAGCGAAACGTTTGTGGACCGCCGGCGTTGAGATATCAAGTCTACGTTTTTCCACCATTCTCTGCTCCCCATTTTGCCCTCCAGAAGCATCCTTCTGTTTTCGCCAATAACCTTCAACACATTTCTACTAAGCTCTCTATGCTTATTAGTACGTAAAACAGAGATGCGAGACTTGCTACGTAGCATGTATTTAACTAGCGGTGTCATCCAACTTGGATCACGGGACGAAAGGGAAACCGTTCGTAAAGGCATGCACCAGTTAATATTTGCCAGGATCTTCAATTCTAAGATGTTCACAGCTGTTTCGATACTATCCGCCTCCAAAACATCATCCCAGCATTCTGATGCGAGGGCAAGGTAAAGAGCTTGCTTCCTATGCTCACGACAATCCCTAAATTGCACTTTCTTACGAATAGGCTTGAGTTTCTTGCCCGCTGGAACTATAAATCCAATGTGATCCGTCTTAATCAGCATCTTTATAGATAAAGCTTTTCCGAAGAGCTCTGGCCTATCTGTAAGACAATTATCCAAAAATGAATCCCCTCGTGTTGGAAAAATGATTGGTGTGTCAAATGAAAACAAAAGACAAATTAAGTAAAAGAAATGACAGTTTCCCAGACAAACAAACGTAAATGCAAATAGCTGGTGTAAGAACGTTTTACTCGCACGGTTGGTAAGAAGAAATCATCAAAAAATTTTAAAAAAAACTGAAATGGAAGAAAAATTGTTTCCCAAGTTGTGCATAAAAAAAAAAAAAACAACAACAACATACGGGAACTTCTTAGTTTCAATCATGACAAAAGTGATGAACACTTAGCTTCTCCTTACAATATCAATATACTATACTGCAGTCAAGTTGATGAGAGTAAATAGACTCATCGATCATTCGGAGGGTATCATCTTTATGCAAGTTTCAGTACATAACATTTAAACACATAACGTCTCCGAAATAAAGTTTAAGCTGCTCGCCTAAATAAAGATTAAGCTGTTCACCTTCTAAAACGAAAAGGTCTCTGGATAGTTAAAAGACCAAAATCACGGAAACTGATCAATTTAAAATTTTATCTGCAAAGCAACGAAGAACGCAAAGAGCAATAGTAACATTGAATAAGAAAATCATCGCTAAAAAAGACAAGAATCATTATAAACACCCGAAAAAGATAGAACTTACATGCGCCTTAGGCCCAGTTAAATCGTCGAATTTCACATGTGCCGAACTTAACTCCTATTTTAGTCAACTAAAATAGTTAAATACGGCATTTGATTCAAACGTCGAATTTAACTCAGTCGAATTTAATTCAGTTTGCTGTCGATATTCCCAAGCGCACTACGTATTTGCTAGACGAAGACTTCTATTGAGTGTTTGCTTAATTGCTTCACTGATGCTCTTGTTTTGCTGTTTGTTTTAGCTTCTTTATCTTGGCTTTTCGTCATGACACTTTCACTTGATTCACGGCGTTCCATCATTTCATTGAAACACGACCTACAATATGCCACAGACTTTCCTACTTTCCACCCAGGAGTGCCCTCTTCGTTTTAAAAAACCGAACACCTCATACAAAAGTTATTACTGCACGTCAAACAACTGTATTTTGTCTTTCAAAGCAAGAACTACAAACTCCTTCGTCTCCCACCATTTTTTGTGCTGTTTTGGCTTTTTCGCGCATGGCATTCATAGAATTCCTGGCGATTTAGACGTTTAGATAGATAGACGTTTATTGAGAAGAATACCTTAATAGCAGCTGGAAGCTGAATTGCAAAGGTGTACAAATTATGTAATAGAACTATACAATAAAATCAAACCTAAAAGGGAACTAATTTACATATACAATTGTAATAAATGTTAGTTAAAATGTCTTGCGCTTGCCGGAATGAAAGTATCTCTGAACCGATTTGTTTTAAAGGAAACTCTAAATGGTCTGCGTTGTCGTAACTCCATAAGTTGACCTCGGTTATCGAAAGGCAGTAAGTGGTACAAACAATCCAAGGGATTGGAGACGATGTTGTTAAAGAATTTTAAGCAAAGGTCTTCTCTCCGATCCCTTAGGGTTTTCAGCTCTGCCATCTGAAGCACTTCTCTATAATGATTATCATAACCGTATATAATTTTCAAGGCTCTCTTTTGGACACGCTCTAAACCTAAGCTCAAATAATTGGGGAGGCTATAATGGTAGACCTGACATCCATAAAGTAAGACAGATTGAATACAAGCAACATAAAAATTAACTAATTCAGGTGATGGTACCTTAGCTCGCTTTAACTGAGTTAAAAAGTAAAGGCGCTTAGCGGCCTTTTTAATCGTCTCAGTAACGTGAGTGTTCCACTTGAGGTTGTCTTGAAAATACACACCCAGTAATTTTACGACACTAACGGCACTAACCTTAGAGCCATTAATTTCTATCAGATCGTAGGAAGGAGGGGAGCGCACAAAGGAAACTCTTAGCTCATTACATTTTTTCGGATGGAGTTGAAATGAATTGAGTGTTGACCAGGTAGCTACTTCGTTTATCATAGACTGAGCATTGCTAGGACCACCCTTGCTTATGATTTCATACACTGTCGTGTCATCTACATATTTTATACAATCACTGGCTGATGGTACTTTCAAATCGTTTATCATAACCAAGAATAGCCACGGTCCCAATTTTGTTCCCTGCGGTACTCCTGCTCGGACCGATCCCCACTCTGAGAGACAATCATGTGCAAGTTTGACCCTTTGTTTCCTATCTTTAAGAAAGGCTATTATCCAATTAATGATGTAAGGGTTAATGTTGTAGGTCGAGAGTTTCGATAACAAGAGGCTGTGGTCTATCAGATCGAAGGCTTTTCTATAGTCCAACGCAAAGATTCGCACGGTGTTCCCCGTTCCGTCTGTTGCTTGCGCCCAATTGTGCATCAGATTTATTAATGCGTGCGCAGTGGAGGATCCTGGAATACACCCAAATTGATCGGGTTCCAGGCGTTTTAGAAGTGCTGGTTTCACATGTTCATGGACGACGTAGTGTTCGGCAATTTTGGACAACGTTGGCGTCAATGAAATAGGTCTCAAATCCTTCGCCGCATCCTCAACTATCTTTGTTTTGGGAAGAGGGGTGATGTTTGCACATTTCCAAATGTCCGGTAAAGTGCCTTGACTAATAGAGGAATTGATGATACAACGAAGGGGTTGAGCGAGTTCAGGAGCGAAGTCACGCAAGACCCAGTTTGGGATATTATCTGGGCCCCCAGCTTTGGAGGAGATGACCGTACTAAGGCATTTGAAGGTAGCTTCCAGTGAAATAATGGGATTTTTAAAACCCTCAGTGCTCACAGTTTCGATATTATCTAAAAGTGGGTCAAACGAAGCTTGAGGTTCCAGCAGAGCTGTATTGATTTCATTAGCCAAGATCTTAAGGTTGATTGAGGTAGCTGGTTTACTTGCTAGGAGCTGATTTGCGACACTTGTAGATGTTTTGTTCATTCCACATAACCGCCTACATTCGGACCACCACATTTTAGGATTGTTTTCGGTCAAAACGCTGACTTTAGTGTTGTAATAAGAGCGTTTGCAGAGCTTCCGTTCCCTGTTTACTTTGTTCCGGTAGTAGTGGAACAATGGTTTGTTGTCTTGGTAATATGCTCTTTGACGGTGTGCTATAAGTGCCTTGAGTTTGGGTGAAATCCATGGTGCGTCGTTTCGGTGGAACTTAACTCGCTTTTTGGGAAGGATAGAATCTAACCCTATGTGAATTAGGTGACTGAAGTGAGCATACTGTTCTTGGACGCTATCTATAGTGTCGATTAATGACCAGTCGACCCCCGTCATATAACGACCAAAAGCCTGTTTGGACTCAGCGTTAACAGCACGTGTAGTAACCGTTCTGTATGCAGGAATATTGGCCTTCGATCTAATTTTTGGAAACAAACCAACAGTACAATGATCGGATAGTCCGAATGGCGGGAATGGAGAAGGTTTCTCGTAGTGTTCTGTAAGATTAGTTAACACTTTGTCGAGTGTACGATTCCCTCTTGTTGGAAAATGGACGACTTGCGTGAGGCGGAACTGCTTAATAACTGGTGAAACATTTGCCCTGTTCCAGTCGCCAGCGAGAATTATACCTGCGCCAGGGATATCACTCTCTATCCTAGAGAGAGAATCCATCATGTAATCAAGGAGGGGCTCATCTTTGGCAGGTGGTGGAGGATGGTATACTGTACCAATGATAAGGCAGCTATAACCCCGAGGCAATCGGTTGGGCGTGATCTTGGCCCACAAAACCTCAGGGCCCTCGGGGTCAGGGAACTCATAGTCCCGTAGAATTGAGAATTTGATGGAATCTTCTACATATAGAGCCACACCCCCATGTAGCCTGTGGGTCCTATCTTTGCGTNTAGGGTCTAATTTTGACTCGTTGATATGTAAAATGTCAATTTTTGAAGTGGACATAAAAACTCTAAGTTCATCAATATGAGACAATAAGCTATTGATGTTAAGGGACGCAATGACTAAACCTCGACCAAAGATTGTTGGATAGTTGGACTTACCGCGGTCGGTACCTTTATGGACATCAGCCGAGTCGGATTCCCAGACGGCAATATCCTAGTCTACACGTAAATGGCTAATAAAATTTTGAGCTAGGCGTGTGGTGCCTTTCTTGTTTAAATGAAGACCACTTCGATTTAAGTGGCTAGTTTTTGAAATGTTTGAGTGGTCAACAAAACCCCAGTTCTTTTCGTTGCAACATTCCTTAAGAATTTTGTTCACATCAGGTACTTTGCAGGCAAGGGCTTCGTCATCTGATCTATCGATGAGACCGGATATAGATATTGTGGCCGAAGATTCGGAGTTGACTGCTTCGGCTAGGTCAATCAGTTCGACTGCACATTCACGAGGAGTATTGGAGGATCGTAAACTGTTGGTTCCAACATGGATAATTATCTCGTCTGGGTTTCTGCGCAGTAGTGGTTTGATGTGATCTTTCATGTCTTGTGTTGTGCATCCCGGAAAGGTGGCTATCTTAACTTGCGAGTTCTTGGACATTTTATGGCCTTGTAGATATTTAAGAGTAGAATCCCCCACTATAACAACCTTCTTCCGACGGTTGGACGGTGGATGGTCATGTTGATTCGACGAATTGAATAATTCAGTGTTTCGCACTCGGATTTCCGAGGACGAAGGAGATGTAATGTGTCCGGTGACAACGCTATTGCCATTTTGATCGCTTCTGTTTCTCTTGGTTCGATCTTCGTCTCGAAGAGCTTCAAATCTGTTACGGGTTTGAGTTATGTTGCTGGGCATTCTTTTTTCATTATGTTTTGCATTTGTACTTCTCTGCGGCGGCTTTTCAACTGACCAATCGCTTGATTGTGGTTGATTGTTTTCCACTTCATTCTTTTCTCGCGTAATAATTGTTATTGCCAACTTTAAAGAAGCATTTTCTTGCTCTAATGACAGGACTCGGCTTTCAAGTAACAAACACTTTTCTTCCAAATCATTAATTGCATTGTCTTTTTTTAGATATAGTGGATAATAGCTTTTCACACTTCTTTTTGTAGTTTTTCACACTTCTTTTTTTCTTTTCTTTTTTCACACTTCTTCCTTTTTGTCAAATTCTTTAGACCTTCAAATTACAGAAGTGAGTAACGTGTTTCTACTCTTTCCAATATCAACATATTATTTGGTCAACAAGCGGAGAGAATACTTAGCAGCTGAGGGTGTTTTTTTTGTTTCGTTTTTTTGTTGTTGTTTTTTTACAATAAATTCTCCCAACTGACGAACAAGGTAATGTGAGGGGGCTACAAGAAATTATTTTTTGACCAGATAAAAAAAAAAGGGTTAACATAATGCAATCTTCAATATCTTGCAAGCAAACCAAACCTTGATTAGAATTTGGAGGGTCTGCACGAATGTTATCAGATTATGGGGAATTAGAGCTCTTTTATTACTAAATTCTTTAGATTTTAACCAGAAATACATTTTTAAAGTAGTTAACGGATACTTATAACTATATCTAGTGTTTCAGCTCATGACCCTTTTTTAAAACAAACAGGGACTTTTCAGAGTCCCAATTGTTTGAGTGACTAAACCGAAAGTCGCAAGAAACAAAAGATACATGCAAGCATCTCCTGTGACAACAAACAGCTAAGTTCGTTTGGTTCAGTGAAAAAGTCACTTAAAAAGTCTGAGACAAGAAATCGAAAACTGCAGCTGACAATCTCTTGGTCTGAGATCTATAAACATTTTCTCTTTCGTCCATAAGGCGCATTGAACAAGATTGTTACGCTTCTCTTTTTACAACAGAATTCACTATTCTTGAATTTGAACTCTGATGTTCCTGATTTGAAATAGCAAAAATATTGTTTCTTTTGAAAGGGGAAGGACTGTAAGCTAATGTTTTCTTTACTTTTGCTTCTTACCCTTGAACAAGGAAGTGTGTCTTGTTTAGTACTCTGACCCTATGACTGAGGAAGCCCAGAGTAAGAAACTGAAGTAACGCTTTCCCTGCGAAATAGAGATGAATGGCAATAACAAGTCTGAAAGGACAGCTTAATCGTTGAGACAAAGAATCCTTTCGAAAACCTAAAACAGAAGTACATCGCTCTCCAACTTCCCAGTAATTTAAATAAAAAGCAAAGCATCTCTGTTTGATATACTGTTCAGTCAACAATTCTGGGTAAGAAAGAAACTTATTAGCCGGACGGCCGGTGTTAAATTGACGCAACATTTCATTCTCTGAAAGTATTTGCAGTTCCTTTTGTAACGTTTAGGGAAGGAGGCTTAGTAAGGTCACGGGAAGTAAAGGCCTAAAGTTCAGTTAATCATGTTATTTGCAAACTGTGATAAGTTTAAGTCAAGTTTTCGGCAACAAATCTTTGCCAAAATCTAAGATTAAGTCCTCTGCCTTTTGAGTATTCAGTCCAGAAAGTTTCAGTTTTGTAAAGCGGGAAACGATGGTTAATTTCCAAATACATTCATTTACTACTAACTTTCCCAAAAGAGAAGCTTGTCTTGTTTGATATTCTGGTCGTATGACTAACGAAACCAAAAGTAAGAAACTGAAATAAAACTTTCTCTACAAAACAAAGATAAATGCAAATAGCTACCGTAAGAAAGACGTAAAAACTTTATGGGTGAAAAATGAAATCAGATAAACCAAAGAGGGAACAATGAATATCAACTACAAAGACTGAGTTGGATTTGTAGAGAGTAAAAAAGGCAAATTAGAAATTAAACCTGACAATCAAATGCTCTTTATCTTTTTTTATAAATAAAGCGCACAAGATTGATTTATCCAACAGAATAGATCTACCCGCCTTGATTTTATTTGAAATTTAGCAATACTGCGCGACGGTAGATACTGTGTTGCCACCGACACTGAAAAACCTTAAGTTACTCAGGACGGTCAAGGCAAAAACATTAGACGGGACAAAACGGAGTTTTTATGAGAAGAAGAATCTCTGCTCGTGTGATGAACATTCCCTTAAAAAAATAATCCAATCTCGAACGGCGTCTTTTTCACCCGATTGTTTCACGTTGAACAGGTATCAATGAAACGAATTTGAAGTATTGATTAAAATGCGCAAGAGGTTTATTCCTCCTTGGAATATCAAGAAAATTTTGAAAAAGAAAGGGGAACCTTTTTCAGAACGACTTCCTTCTATAACAGTTCATGTTGTGTCAGAATATTAATCAATGTAGTAATGGTCTATATAGGAGCAACTCGGATTCTAAAGGCGTTGAAATATGTATTGGAAAATCGACGAGAAGTCACATTAACTAATTAAATATCTCACTTACCACGACTCTAACTCTGAACGCTTTGTTGCTTTGTAAAGTGAAGCAGCCAAATTAAGAATTAAATGAGCAGCATATGTGACATGTGTCTATTTTAGGGTTAGAAGTGTGTAGCGAATCTTAGCCCACTCCTGAAGGGCCGAGATGGAGAATGGGCTGTAAGACAAGTTGGGAAGAGATTTGCCGTGGATCTGGTACTGATTATCAATGCTAGACTCCGGAAAGTTCTCTCACGGGCTCGTGTTCCTGAAGGCCTCATACGTTCGTGCAGGCCAGGAAGTGCTCGTGACCAAATGCTACTAATGAGGGCGACCAGGCGAGCGTAACCTCCTTCACAGCCGTCTTTTGCAATCGTCACGCAACGGGAGCAGAGAGAGCACTTTGCGTGACGAGACCAAACAACGGCTGCGAAGGAGACTACCGGAAGTGTAGCACCAATGCAGGATATTTTTGCTTACAATTATTAAGAAGACAGGGACAATATACCACAGGATATCTGTGTCTGAGTTTAAACAAGATTAATTCAGAGAGTTTTTGCTTTTGCTCTTTCTGGGATCTTTTCAATTGAGTACATAATCTTTTCTTAACCCGCTCACTCAAAAAAATAACTGTTGCTTGCGTGGCATGCCTATGTTAACATACTGCGTGCCACGAGATTGTCGTTTTAATGCATCGTTAAGTAACGCTTAATGCGATAAACGATCTGCCAGCCTGGAGCAGGCCCTCATTCAGGGCACACGAATAGCATGTGCGACATTTTTTTATACATTCATCGACCGAAACTCGCTTTAACCCTCGAAAGTTAACCTGTAACTTCTCATGTATTGCGATATTAATGCATTTGTAATACAATAATATAATAATAATATCCAATAAACAGATACTGACAAAAACAAGCTTTTCAGACAGAGAGTGTTCGACTGATGTAACGTCAATTAAGCTGTGAACGTTAACATTTTATGAATCTGTTCAAAGTTGAGTCTCCTTAGGTGGAGCGTTGCGTGACATCCCAAAAACCGGCTGCGAAGGAGACTGGTTCAGAGCTTGTGTTAAAAGGTTATCTTTGATACCACACAAATTTGAGATGGTTAAAGCAAATTAGGATGGGGGGAGGGGGGGGTTCGTTGTTTACTGTCAGAGAGGGGTGGAGGATTTGGGGATCACATGGTTTCCAGGGGGAACGGGTGGGGGTCATTCGTCGCCATCAGAGTGTAAAGGAAGGACTATAGAAAAGTAACTGCCAATCAACTGCATATTTGGCGGGAGAGGGAGGGGATTCATAAGGCTATTACAGAGCTTTTGGGGTGACCCAGGTAAGTATTATCGTAACACAACCAAAATCCTCCAGCCCCCACCCACTCACAGGCAAGTGGGGTGGGAGCCACAGGCAGGCCAGCCTCTGAGTTTGTTGACAAATAAGACATACCTCAGAAATAGTGAGATATTGGAAATTGTATGAAAATTATGGATATAACATTGAACAATAACAATTTCAACGCATCTTGGTTTTCAAATCTCATTGAACCCTTTAACCACTACGAGTGACTAGCATCTATTTTCTCCTTACAACATCAGCCCCGAATCAAACATTGAGGTCAGAGGAATAAAGAAAATGATCAGCAACTAAAGAAGCTCTTGATTGTTCGACAAATTCTCTTAGCTTTGTCAGCATCCTATAAAATGTAAATAGAACAGTTTGGAGAATACGCATACTGATGTTAGCCTGTAAAGGGTCAAGGGATCGAACATTCCCCACCCGGGCAACGTCGACGTACTTTATCCGAAGACAAAATACGTTTACAAGCAAAATACAAATGTAAAAAAGGTAGATTTTAGGTTTTACGAGGGTGCTTTGGTGCTGTTTATCTGATTCGGCGCGTTCCTGTTGCGTTTTCCGACAACATCAGTTACACAAATTGTCCCACCTTAACCATTCAGTAAAACTAACTCTTTCATGCGTAGCAAGCCTATGTTTTGGTCTCGTCACGCAACTTAGTCCCTCTGTAGAACAGTAGAGGGGGCGTTGCGTGACAAGACAAAACTATGGCTTCGAAGGAGATTACAGTATACTTGCAACTGTAATCTCTCAACTTAGGGTCGACAGACCACAAAATGCCTCTGCAGGAGTTTATTCCGGTTAAAATTGGACAGTTTTTCTCTCTCTCTTAAAGTAAAGTGATGCGATTTTCTTTCTCTTTAAGGCTAAGGATCTTTTTTCTTTTACAAATATGAAAACATTAGTTACAAAGTGCTTCAATCAACAACAAACATATGAAACATATGAGTGAACTGCGGTTATGAGACGTATATAAGAACGATCCTTCGCAGTAAAGCACTATTTGAGCAATAGTGGAAATCAGACCTGAAAAAAATTTCAGGCCTGTACGGGATTCGAACCACTGACCTCTGCGATACTAGTGCAGCGCTCTACCAATTGAGCTAACAAGCCAACTGGGAGCAGGCCATCAAATTAATTCGATATAAACCCGTAGATGATAAATCGAACAACAACAAACATATGAAACATATGAGTGAACTGCGGTTATGAGACGTATATAAGAACGATCCTTCGCAGTAAAGCACTATTTGAGCAATAGTGGAAATCAGACCTGAAAAAAATTTCAGGCCTGTACGGGATTCGAACCACTGACCTCTGCGATACTAGTGCAGCGCTCTACCAATTGAGCTAACAAGCCAACTGGGAGCAGGCCAT